TTTTGGAATTATCCATGTTATACCTCTTTAAGATGGTATCAATGTACAAAGACTGGGAAAGTCCAAGCAACTTCCTAGATCTATCTCTATAGATCTTTATTCCTAATATATAAGCTGCTTCTCCCAAGTCTTTCATGGAGAACTGTTCAGATAGCCAAATATTGGTACTTTGCAATGCTAGTATGTCATTCTCTATGAGCAATATATCATCAACATACAACACTAAGAATATAATTGTGCTCCCACTAACCTTTTTGTACACACAAGGTTCTTATTCGCATCTAACAAAATTGAACTTTTCAATTGTCTTGTTAAAGCGAATATTCCAACTTCGAGAAGCTTGCTTTAGTCCATAAATGGATCTTTGTAGCTGCAAATTTTATTATGATCAGACGAAGATGTGAAACCTTCAGATTGTGTCATGTCCACATCCTCTTCTAGCTCACCATTAAGGAAAGCTGTTTTCACATCCATTTGCCATATTTCATAATTATAGTATGCTGCTACAGCAAGCAAAATCCGAATAGATTTGAGCATTGCCACAGGAGAGAACGTCTCGTCGTAGTCGACTCCTTCTTTTTGGCGATATCTCTTGGTAACAAGACGCGCTTTGTAGGTCTCCACCTTTCCGTCTGCTCCAATCTTTTTCTTAAAAATCCATTTACAACCTATATGTTTTATATCCTTTGAAGGTTCAACTAAAGTCCATACTTTATTTTCCTTCATGGATTCCATTTTGGATTCCATGGCATTTTGCCACTTCTCATAATCGGAACTTTGTATAGCCTCTTCATAGGTCTTAGGGTTATCATCATTATGATCAACCTCATTTGATATATCATCTTGTACCAATAAATTTAATCTAGTTGGTACATGACGTTCTCGTGTAGATCTTCTAAGAGATACTTGTACAACCTGTTCACCTTATGCTGGATTTGGTTGTTGTTCAATTTGGTTTGGAACTGATTCATTAACCTGTTCTTGAACTTCATTTAGTTCTTGAACTTCAACTGTTGAAGATGGAAACTTTAAAACATCCAATAAAGGTTCTTCAACTTGGGTTTCATGATCCTTATATTGTGTTGATTCATTAGTTTCTTGAACTTCATCAAGTTCTATTTCTCCATTATAATTTCCTTCTAAAAGAAATTCCCTTTCCAAAAAGGTTGCTCCCCTGGCCACAAACACTTTATGGTTAGAAGGGTGATAGAAATAATATCACATTGTTTCCTTGGGATACCCAATGAACCTACACTTATCAGATCTTGAGTCCAGTTTATCAGACTGTAGTCTCTTAACATAAGTTGGACAACCCCAAACTTTAATATGTTTAAGGTTAGGCTTACATCCTTTCCCTATATCATATGGTGTTGTAGAAACTGACTTAGTAGAAACTTTATTAAGTAAATATGTTGCTGCTTCCAAAGCATATCCCCATAAATTTATTGGAAGATCAGTGAACCCCATCATAGATCTCACCATATCTAATAAGGTTTGATTTCTCCTTTCAGACACACCATTATGTTGTGGTGTTCCTGGAGGTGTCCATTGTGAGAAAATCCCATTCTCTTTGAGATATCTGGTAAAATCTTCAGTATGATATTCTCCACTTCTATCAGACTTTAGTACTTTGATACTTTTACCAGTCTGCTTCTCAACTTCACTACGGATCCTTTTGAACATTTCAAAAGATTCAGACTTGTGTTTCATAAGATACACAAATCCATATCTTGA